GTCATAATTTAAAATAAATAAAAATTTTAAACAAGTATGTACAAATGTCCGCCATGCTTGCTTTTCACGTTTCATAAGAAGGAAATTTATATTTCTTGCAACTTTAAGTAGCTGTTAGACGTGGCAAGTGCATGTGCTTTTCAAAAGTATGTCAAACTCAATAATTTCCAAAAGAGATTGCAGGAGCAATTACAACTTGCAGGTAAAGTGACTTTCGAAAGCACTTCTTATTTCGGAAAATCAAGCTTTCCGATACTGCGTAAAACTGTAGATCGCACCATATCTGTGACAATAAAATATCTGAGCGCTAAAAACAGCCTCTTTCTATATCTGCGAGCTAAGTCAGAACCGCACTCTTTAAAAAAATCTCAAAAAAGCCTCTAAAAAGTACTAAAATCTCGGCAAATTAAGCAAACCAAATATTGTTTAAGTTCGTAATTTTCACATACTTTTTTCACTCCAAAATTTATCTTCTTCCAGATGTTCTAATAAAGATGAATGCTCATTCCTATCAAACAAACGCAAAGATCGTACTTATAAATTCTATTTGGCATTCGAGCAAGAGCTTTGCGCTGATTATGTGGGTGAAAATTTTTACAAGGCCTTAGGTGGACGCTTGGTGCCTGTGGTATTTGGTGGGGCGAATTACGAGCATTTCGCCCCACCGCATTCGTATATAAACGCACGTGATTTTGCCAGTATACGTGAGCTAACGGAATACCTGCTACACTTGGATCAAAATCCTGAAGAACATATAAAATATTTTACATGGAGAGAAAAGTATAAAATTCACAAATCTAAATTTAATTTGGATCAAATTTGCGATTATTTGCAAAGTGAAGAGAGCGCAAATGACACCAGAAATAAATCACAAGCGGCCAGACCATTTATAAATTGGTTAGAGGAAAATAAATGTCAGTCGTATGAATTGCCTGCGGCATGGCTGTCCTGAGGGGAATCGTGGCCATGATATATGATTGTGAATATGTACATATATATGTATGTGTATATGTTTATACATGCTTTACAATGACTTAATTACATAGTTACATGTATGTAGTGACCAGTAATGAGTAAAGGCTGGTTTTCACTATGTCATACGCTAAAATTTGTCGACATATTTTGACACCTTTACCGATGATGTTATGGGCCAAAAACAGACAGATAGCCGATTTAACAGCGCAAATACATGACTAAAGCTCTATACTGATCGTAACCGATCTACATATATACCACTTTTTAATCTCCTTTGACAATAGTTGCGTTCCCCAACTTTTCTGGGTTGAAACCTGTAAAACTGTCACAAAGCAAAAGAAGCCAGAGAACCGAGTACGGGAACGCTTTCTGGTAAAATCCTGTAAATTCTTGCAACTTCTTGCGAGTTGGGGAACGCAACTAATGTGTTTTCACTTATTTGACGACAAATATCATTGAATTTGACATAGTGAAAACAAGCCTTAAGGTAAAATTTATGACAATCAATGTCGGTATAAATATTTTTTTTAAATAGATAGTTATTTATGAAGAATCATAAGATAGCTATGTATGTATGTGTATGCACATAGATACATTATTAACTTCATATATATAATTGCTGAAAACGTATAACTTTTATTTATTTTAGATAAGAAATTTTAGCTTAGGTACTGATAAAATATGTTTACATTCACTCAATTATTTTTCGAACGGTTAAAAATAAAAAATAAAATTTATCATTGGAGACTATAAATTGGCTTAAAAAATAGGTGTATAATAATCGCAAAGGGATAGACTAATAAATTCGTTGAATAGCCAATTGGCGTCGTAAATAATACAATAAAACAGTTACATATGTTGGACTCTAATCCAGAACAACTCCAGTTGTTAGCACTTGTGGTCAATTGTGTTATTACATTTGCGACATTTTGACCAGTTTTGCAGATGGTGTTAGGTGTTTTCTTGAATATAAAATAAATTTTAGACGAAAGCACTGCACAATAGTGATGTGCTAAGTCGATACTTGGAAGTATTGATCGATACTCGGTACCGACTTAAGAAGTATCCAATACTTTCAATACTCGGTACCGAAATGGTGGAATTTCTAACAAGAGCGCAAAACAGCAAAAAATATGGAATAAAAGCAGTTGAAGGGAGCCTCGCCAAATAAAAACCTTGCCTCACTCAACTACATATTATATAGTAGGGAGGTTGATTATTCGCTTTTTTCAGAAGCAAGTTTTCGAGTTATTCGAAAAAGTCGCAATTTGAGAAAAGCGGTACCCGATTTTGAAATTAACAGGTCTATTCTGCGTTGGTAATAAAAACTTTGTAACCGGTAAATAAAGTTCCTGTCAATTTTTAAACCCTTTTCGCATTCTGTGTACTCTTGTAACCAGTAATTTTTGTTTCCATCTCATAAGCTGGTAACAAAGTATTGCCCCGTGAAATATGCAATGCCAGAGTTTGCATAATTCTTCATAGCTGAATTGCTGAATATTTTAACTGCATTACCAACGTACCTAGAATCGCGGTGACAAGAACTGGTAACATTTTTTGGTAATACAATTTTCCGGTTACAAAATCATCGGTAACGTACAGAATAGACTTGTAAGAAATAACCGTATAAACCGGTTTTATTTTACATAGTTTTCATACAGTGAAAATGCTTATGTTGGTAATGACACCATGACCAAAAATTACAATAAAACTATTGACAGTACAGATAGCTTTTATTTAGAAAACATAAAAAGAATTTCAAGGTTTTTTTTTTTAGGTCAAAAGTAAACCCAATATAAATCAGTGAAAATTTCACGTTTCTTCTTATTTAACTATTTGTGTCCCAACATTAAGAAGCAGAACACGAATCTGAGTAGAAGCTCGGCCATGTAAGTAGAAAACGTTTAAGCACCAAATATTTATTTTTAATTTTAAACCTATTTAGGGGTTCCCATAACATGGGTGAAACCTTGAAAACATCGAAAACCTCAAAACATTTATTGAGAGGTCAAGACAGTTTCTTTGATAAAAAGAATCCGGTTTATTCGATATTCGAAAAATCAATATTTCAAAAAATTCGCCTATAGATGTTAAAAAAAAACCGGTGGAAACCGGTTTGGAAAAACCGAGTCAATCACCCATATATAAATGTAGGTACATATTGCTCATATTTTGAGAAGGCATCGCC